GCATCCAAGGAATTGCTTCTTCTCCCATGCTCCCGGTTACAGTTCATGGAGATCATTTTTGTTCCAGCTAGCAGTATCCGACTATAGCAGACTGAAGCTCCTTTTTCTCATTTTTTTATCCTTTTTATTTTCTTTCTTTGTGTTTTGCAATGGGATGACGAGGATCTGTAGAAGTTACCAGAGACGGTGATGAAACTCTGAAGAGCTGTTCTCGGTAAATTCCCTGGCCAATGACGAATGAAAAAGGGAGAAGGATTGAAATGTGCCCTTGTTTATTTGTTATTATCGTTATTTTTTTCTTTATTTAGATCTCCTTCATGCTTCAAATTCTTCAGGTTCCTATTAATCGTCGTTAATTATTTACTCCTCGTTTTGGGTAAATCGAAGTCTTGGAGTGTTTTCATTAGGGAATTGTATGATTAAAAATTGTGTTTGCCTTATCAATTGTTTTATTCGAATATAATACTTTTTAATACTTCGAATTAACTGGGTGTATCGATTTAAATAGATTCTTTCAGTTAAGTCTCCTAGAAGGCCAGAACCGTAATGGATAATAATTACAAAAAAAAGAGAAATAATAATGAAAAGAAAAAGGGAATGAGAGAATGAAGAATGGTGATAGGCATATGATATTAGAACAAACTCTGTTTGTAGATTCTGAGAGGGAAGAGTGATTGGCGAGAGGATTTGATTAACTAAATCTAAAGAATAAAAAAAAAAGGAAAATGAATAAGTAATATAATAAAAAATTGGGAAATGTGAAATGGATAGACTGATTTAATAGACTCGGACATGTCATGGGAGACTTAGGGGAGATAAATGGAAGAAAGAGAAAAGTAATAAAAAAACATACAAATAAAAAAGGAGAGGAAAACAAGTAGAAAATGTAAAAATTAAAAAAAAAAAGTAAAAGAGCAAAATAATAATAATATGTAAAAAGTAAAGATGAAATGAAATGGGGTTCCAAAAGAAAATAACACAAATAATTGTTTAAATAAATTCAAAAAAAATAAAAACATAAAAAATATAAATATAAAAGATAAAAATATAAAATATGAAAATAACACAAATAATTGATTCATGGAAGATATTCCTAATGCAAGGTTGCAATGGGCCACTCGAACGATGCGAGCACCAACCTACCCTATAGAAGTTGAATTCGGTTGGGGACAAAGAAATCAATGTTTATTATCCTAAACTAGTTTTGTCAAATTTAGATCCAAAACCAGTTCTCAGACTATCATAATATATACAAGCCCGTGCTCAACACGGGTAACTCCGCTAGTAGGGGCATTAACATATTGGACAAAAATTATCCAAAAAATAGTTCTTTGATAAGTGGGAGGGTTTAGGTGGACTACAATTGGATGGGTTGGATCAGAAATGGCCACCTATAATCCCAGATTGTTTGAAGCTTCCTATTTCCCTTTCAATAGATCCCTCAACATTGTGTTTCTACATGTTTGCACATGAGTGTGGGCACAGATTGATCATAAACATATTATAAATATAAAGGAGAGTACACATAATACTGTAAATAAACAATGCATATGTATATATACATAAACATAAATACACAATGCACATATATACATGGAGTAAGCATATTATAGAAGCCTCCGTAGGCTCAGGAAGGCTCAGGCTCAAGTTAAGTTAGTCAGTTTTCAGGTTCAAGTCTAACCCAAGGACCATTTATTCAAGCTTGATCTATGAAAAGTTAGGGTTTGATCAGGTCCACCCTAGTTGCAGCTCTAAGTGCCGTTAATGGGTCAACTTTGGCTTGGACATACAAAATTCCAAGTTCAATATGACTAATATTCCAATCCAAATCAAACATAAATACATGTTTCAGACCAAAGCAAACTTGACTAAAAATTTTCTTTGATAAGTACGGTATACATACCATGGAGATAATCAACCAAGAAGAACTTTTATAAAGTCTTTTTGTCAAAACTCATGAATAGGAACTAGGTATTCTGAATAGGGAACATCCTACCTTGGGTTGAGCCAGCCAAAATCGACATAGGACCAAACGTTTACTAGGTGCAAAATCTCAATCCAGTCCACAATAAAGAGAAGTGTTCTACTGATTCTTGCAAAGATCCAATTGATGGTACTGGAGAGAACAGTATTGATTTTATAGGATTAAGGGAGACGCTTTGTTTCTTGCAAAGATTCAATTGATGTCCAAGGATAAAGCGCTTTTGACACTTCGAAGGATTAAGACCATGTTTTTGGTTCTTTTTAAGATGAAGGATTTTTTTATAAATGGAGATCTGATATTGAAATGAGAATATAGAATGGATGTTTCAATGAGCTTAGGTGAGCTAGATTAAATTTGTGTTTGTCAGATTAGGCTCTTTGGTAAGGTGAGGAGAATTTTGTAAAGAGTTCTTGGGCCGCAAAGCTCTTGTTGCATAGTTTTCAAGGTGCCAAGGTGAGGCTAGGCAACAAGGGGGCGTCTTGTCGCCTAGTTGCCTAGGCGATGGATTTTTTTTATGTAGAAAACATAGATCCTAAGGTAGTTCGCTAGGTACCATAACCATATTCCCTTAATAATTATTCGTAATTTTCATAAGCAAATTATAGAGTTCATATCAACATATTCATGAGAAGAAAAAGAAGAAGGAAAAGAAAATTCAAAAAATATAGGGGTTGAACCCTTATTTTTGTTATAGGAAAAGAAGAAAAGAAATAGTAGTAGAAAATGTGTTGATTAGATAAAATTTTAAGTTCCTCCTTACTTATTGATTCAGGTTCTAAAGCCTTTGAGGGTTCAATACAACATTTAGAAATGTTTGTATTGATTCAACCCTAACAAATAAGAAATTAATAAAAAGAAATTAGTATATAACCACACAAAATGGATATTTTAGTTTAATAGTGCCTATTTTATAAATATAATGTCAAAAAATAAAGAATAAAAAAGTATTTCATAATACATAGTACAAAATTTCTTGTCGATAAGGTGAGGCAAGCCTCAAAGGGTGCCTTGTCGCCTAGGTGCCACCAAAATCAACAATTAAATTGGATTGCAACTTGGACAAGATTTTTTTGGAATCTCAAGAAGACCTCTCTCTCTCTCTCTCCAAATCAAGTTGGCATGTTACCAAATTTTCTAGTTATAGTTTTCCAATACTAGTAAGTAGTACTAATGCCAAATTTTAAGATGCAGCGAATTACAATTAAATTATAACTCACATTTTATGCATACGTTAAGAATGTAAGAACCTAACATGGACTTGTTTGTGCTTGCCACAAGGGGCTCAATACAAAGCGGTCCATACACCATGAGTAATGTGATTAGGAAAGCAAAAAAAAAAAAAAAAAAGATTGGAACTTTCACGTGCTTGCTTTATTGAGTGCTTGAATATGCGACTCTATTTTTTACATTTTTACTTTATATGTTATATTTACGTTTTTTATTTTGAGATGATATCCTTCTTAAAACATTTAGTTTTAAATTTAAGTATGCATTTTTCATTAATATTATTTTACAAATTTTCTGATTTTGTTTTGCATTTTTACATATTTTTTGAAATTTTTGAAAGATTTTCCTTGCTTCAATAAGGGGCATGCCTTGCCTTGCGTCTTGCACCTTGGGTGCAAAAAGGTCCTTGTACTTTTTTTTGCACCTTATGCTTTGAAAACACTAATTAAAATGAAATTATAAATTGCTATTTTCATTGGTAATTATAGGTGCACCAAGTATGGTCAGGTCTAATTGGGTCAGACCCAATTGTCCTATTTGGATTGGTTTTGTATCCTTCATACTGTCCCAATAGTGATTGATAGATCTAAATGGAAAAAAAAAATAACTAGATCCAAGGCTGTAACCATATAGGGTTAACAGGCATAACTAATGTGGGATGGAGAGTACTCATTCCTAGCCATAGACAACATTCAAACCTTTGCAAGCCTGGAAAGCTAAGCTAATTCACTTAAAAGAATGGGAAATTAACAACCTTTTGTTTCAAGAAGGATCTAGAATTGACTATACTTAAAAGAGTGGGAAACCTTTTGTTTCAAAGGATCTAGATTCTAGAACCGTTTCCACTTAAAAGAGTAGGAAAGCTACAAGCTTTTGTTTCAAGAAGGATCTAGAACCCGTTCCACTTAAAAGAGTGAGAAAATTACAACTTTTTATTTTAAGAAGGATGTAGAACTGGTTCCTCAGGTGAAAACAGAATATCATGAATGGATGTTTAAGCAGGTGGACCTGTAGTCCAGCTCTCTAATCTTCACTAAAGTGCAATAAGAATCTTGAATTTCGTGGCACATGGAGAAACTCCAACCATCAACTTTTCAGCCAATGAAATACATCCACTGACAGCATAAGATAGGTTTAAAGTTGATATAATGTCCTCAACAGGAAAGTGTAGGACAAGACCATTGCCGTACTGATTGAACTTTGTTTATAGGCAGGTTGATCATCCAATTTATGCAATTTAAAATATCAGTATAACAAAATTAATTAACACTTGATTTAAATTAGAAATCTCCAGAAGTCAAGTTGGGTTAGAGAGACAAGGTCGTTCTAAAGTTTTCATAGGGTGATAAAGATTAGGGAACACGGTTGTCATAGAGAGCCGTTTTCCACCAAAAAGGGAACTATTGTTTGGACTTGTCAAAGAGAACAGCTGTCAACCTCTAAGACTTAAGTTTTGACTGTGTGGATCTAGCTGAAGAAACAAACCAAATCGAGAAGACGCAACCCCTGTTAGGAAAATCATTTCAAGGAGTTCTTTCCTTTATCCGTATTTTACCAAGAAAAGGAATGAGAAAGACAACAATAAAGCACAACTCTTAAATGTCAACCAGACAACATTCAAGAAACCCTATATATCACCACTTCCAGTTTGCGTGTTTCCACAAGCAACACTCAAAAAGCTCTAAATGGAGTATAATAAACATTATGCACTTGAAACAGAAAAAGAACTCAGAAAAAAAAAAAACAAAAAAACAAAATAAAGAGAAAACGAGATGGGTTAAGAATCTACCAGGGAAGTTGTTCAGAAATGAAATCCTCCATGGACGCACCAATATTTCATGTGGAAGAAGAAAGAAACGAGCTTTGAGAAGCAAATCGAGTGACAACAAGAGAAAGCACGCTTGTAAACAGCCATGCCCTTGCATGAATGCCGACAAGCGTGCTCTCTCTCGTTGTCAAGCAATTCCGAGACAAAGCTCGAACCAAATCTGCAACAAAATAAGAACCGTTACAGATAAGAACGATCGTCAACTCGGAATTTTTCACTCAAACTATACCTCCTCTAATACCAAGTCCCATCATTCCACTTTTCAGAACATGCTAGATAAGTCCAGATCTTCAAAACCTCGAAACCCTGAAAAAAGAAAAACCAAAAATCAGAACTCAAACCCGATAAAACCGAAATCTGACAACTAAAAGAGCCAAGAAAAGAAAACAAAGCAACTCATGCCCACCCAAAAACAGCCGAATAATCTCACCAGTTTAAAGTCGCGTATGAGAGAGAATAAGAGGAAGAAGCAGAAGAAGAATCAATCAGTAAACCTCAAAACATAATAAAAAAAAAGAAACTCACACACGGTTCTGCAAACTAACTGACCATCAGAAATAATCTCCACATAAGAAAAAAATCAACAAAAAACTAAACCAAGAGAGAAGCTCATGAAAGATTTAGAAGAAGAACATGAGAAAGCAACCAAGCAAGAAGAAGAAGAAGAGTAGAAGACGAACCTTCGAAGCAGAAATCAGAAAACAAAAAAAAAAACAAGAGAAGAGAGAACAACTAATGGATGATCCAATCGAGTCTGAAGCGTTCGTGACCTTCTTCTATTCCTTCTTTATAGAACCATTCTGAGGCTAATTTTCTAGCTTTTTCTTTAAGAAAAAAAAAGAATCTATTCCGATACCTTCAGAAAATCGAACGTAAATATCTCTCATGTTTCTTCTTCTCCTTTCTTTTTCTACAGTTTCATTTTACAAGAGACGAAACAACAGTTAAGTGGGATTAGAGCAAACAGGTGAGGAGAGGTAAAATCAAGTAAAAAGAAAAAATAAGAAAATAAAGGACGGAACTGATGATTACGGAGAAGACGGTCTCTCTCTCTTGATTGCAGGTACTATTTTCAAATCAACCTCTTTTTTACTCCAAGTGTGTCTACCTTTATCGTACGACGCGTGTCACATTCAACGGCCTTCTATCGTCCACGTATCGCTATGTACTTGCATAATTTCGTAGACCGAGGAATATCCCAACGGAGGGTTTTAATTTAAATCCCATTTAAAAAAAAAAAAATTACCCGAAAAGAAAAAGATGGAAAGTTTTTAAAAGCTGTACGGTCAGATGCAGTGCTTGACGCTAGCTAGAAAGTAGAAACCCCTTCCTCTCTCCCTCAGGCTCAGGTTTCGGCTATCAAATTTACGTTTTTGTCCCTGTGATCTTCGTCTATTAACGAGAGTGTCTGTATTTTAGATGGGACATTGTCCTTTGGTTACTTGTCGGTACGAGATTCCATGAGACCGGCCTCACGTGAGGATGTCGTTGATGTGGCAAAACCTGTGGGACCCGGTGATGTGAATATTCTGATCCAATGGGTGATTGCGGAGGCCTGAAGAGAGGTCGATCTCACCGGGTGGCTTTTTGTTTTGTTTTTTAGTTAACGTTTATGGTACATGAAAGCATATTAATGTGGTGGGTCCCACTACAAGGATAGTTATCGCATAGGGGAGGGGGCCGGGGAGTGATTGGGTGAAGAAAGACTGAAAGCGATGAGATCATCGGGGTGGTCACGCTGGAGAAACCGTGCGACCAATTACGTGTGTATCGATCATTGGTTGCAAGTTGACACACTTAGACCCCTAGATTGTTCATCTAGTCAGTGGACGAACACGTCAGAATATCAGGGTTAACTCGGCGCGACAGACTCCGCATGGCATGACCGTTGCTCGAATTGGGAATGGGAGCGAGAGCGACGCCTTAAGGTACCATGGGCGGAAGTCTTGCCACGTGGCTAGACTTGAACTATTTACAATGATAAAAGTGAATGGTACGCCACGTCATCATGAAGTGTGCCACGCGTACGAAACTGACGTGGTGGGTCGTGATTAGCTCAGTGTTTCTCGGAGTAGAACTGCAGGAGATTTGGAATGGAGAGCAGTCGACTTTCAAGGAGAAAGGTCCGAGGTGATGGGATTAGATCATCACAAATGGGCACTTCACATGCACATCCACCATGCATTGGGAACATCTCCTGTGAATAATAACAAATAAGAATAAGATGCATGATAGGATTTGTGTATGAGGCGCCTGTGAGGTGTCAGGTGTGAGAAGCAGATTTAGTCTCAGGTTCGGGGGGCTGAGAAGGAACGGAATGCCACTGCAAGTACAATGAATTGACATCTCCACCCCACAAAGGGTCGCCCCACAATGCCCTATAGCACATCTCCGCTGTGTATTGAGAATATCTCCCGATATTAGAACTGATGACATCATCATCGGAAGATATTCTCAATACACGATGGGGATGCATTGTGGGGCGGAGATGTGAACTCAAATGCAATTAGGGCGAGTGGTCGTCGATTAGATCATGCAAGGGAATGGCTGCAGGCCGGCACAAGTAGGTCACACAGCCACATAAGCATAGAGAGGGACAATTTCAATGGGGAAGAATGAAGATTATTTCTTTTCAAATAACCAAGGTGGTTTTTGGATCTTTGATAATACTTCTCTAATGTCTTGAAAATTTGATTTTAAGATGGTATTGGCATTTGGATTTAGGTCTGATTAGGGGATTTGAAACATAAATTTAGGCCTAAATTGGTAAGACTTGGTTTTATATCTTACTACAAATCAAATGCATTTCAGACGTGATAAAAATGACATTAATGCCCTCATTATTGTCATCTATTTACAAAGACAACAAAAACAACAACAACAATAATAATAATAATAATAATAATAATAATAATAATAATAATCATTGTTATTATTTATTTAAATACTATTATTTCATCATATTAAACATATTATATAATAATAAATTTTATTACTAAATAATCATTGTTAATTAAATAATAAGTAATATTTTATTTGAAAAAATAATAACAATTAGTAGTAATATTTATTTAATAATGATATTATTATAACTAGTATTAACTAATATTGTGTTTATCAATAATTATATTAGTAGTAATTCAATTAATATTGTTTACTAATAATAAAAAAATTAGTATTGTTATAAACATTTATTATTACTTAATAAATAGTATTTCTTTATTTAAATAAATAATAATATTAGTAATGATATTTATTTAACAAGAATATTAATTAATAGTAATACTATTATTATTATTTAATAATAATAATAAATATATTACTATTATAAAATTATAAATGATATCATTTTAATTTAAATAAATAATAATATTTAGTATTAATATTAATATAGTAAGAATATTTGGTAATATGTTTACTAGTAATAATTAAAAATGCTTTTATTTATTATTAGTTAATAATAATAAACAAATATTATCAACAATAAAATAATAAATAAGTATTTATTTTAAAAATTATAATGTTTATTTATTAATAGAATACTATTTTTATTTAATATTCTTTTTTATTATTTATAATCTTATCAAACTTCAAACAGTCTGTTTCTAATGGTAAAAATGTAAAATAGTAAACTTCACAACTTCAGATGTTGAAGAATTGCTTCAATTCAAATGATCTCAACTTTTCATAACCTCTAGAAAGTAGAAAATTATTTTTACTTATTTTTAGATTTCAGACCCAAATAATAACTTTTCAACTTTTTAGACATCAACTTTAGATTTGTCAAGTGCCACCTAAAATATTGAGGACTGGATAAATCTGATCATTTGATCTTTAACCACTCAAGTGGAAACAGTGGAAGAAGTTTGTGCAAACAACTGGCTAAGCATGAGTTTTTCAATTATCTATGCTATTATATAAAGAGAATAATTTGTGGGCAAATCTATAAATTCATCAACCAGGTAATTAGTTGGAATTGCTTTATTTTGATGAATATCTATTTAGGGAAGAGTAACGAGTGTCATGTTTGAAGAAGGCACATGGATGGAAAGATTAGGATCTGTTTGGATAGATTTTAGGAAAGTACTTTTGTACTCTTTAAAGTAATTTAGGGCCTGTTTGGGAGGGGTTTTGCATTGACCTGCATTGGTTAAGCCACTTCAAATAGCTGCCAAAACTAAATTCATCGGAAAGTCAAATTTTCAGCTTTTTTAATTGTGAAAAAACTATTTTCAGCTCAATGTAAGTGTTTTGGGCTTCTAGGGTTTTCATAGAACATAATTTCACGGTTTCCCATGTGGGGCCTACCTTGCTACATGAAAAGCACTCCCAAATAGACTTAGCAGGTAAAGCAGTAAAGCACCCTTCTTGCATTAGGTAAATAGTGTTTTGTATACTTTATTAGAAACGCAAAATAAATGTATGAAAAAGTAAGACGAAATTATGAAGTAAAAATAGACTTCGTAGTTTTGGTGATCACGTGAGGATCACATGACACCCTTTTACCATAAGTAAAAATAGAAATTAATTAATTCATTCAATAAATAAATAATTACAAAAATAATAAATTAACCGACTAATAAAATGACTAAATAATTAGTAAAAATAATAAATAAAATAATCAATATATATATATATATATATATGAAAACTTATTAAACGCATTAGCAAGTCTTACAATAAATAAATAATTATGAAAAAAACAAAATATTTGATTAATGGTATGAAAAAGCATGCGACTAATAATAGAGTTGAATAAATAAGGGAAATTATTTAAATAAGTACTAAAATAAATAATAAATGATCAAGTGACTAATAAAATTATTAAAATAATGAATAAAATAATCAAATAAATATGAAATGATTAAATAATACAATTATGAATTAATTAAATAAAATAATGAAACACTTAAATACTTAAGGAAAAATGTGTTAAATAAGAAAAAAATAATTAAATATTTATATAAAATATGCCATGTGGTAAATACGGAAATGCCATTTGGCATGTTCTTGAATTGTTTGGAAGATAGAGCTTAATTATTTACTTTGCATCAGACAACACGGCATGTGTATGAATGCAGATGTGCATTGCCGTGTCTGTGCCACGTTGGGCACATAACATAACATGTGGCAAATATTGTCCACATGGCATTGTTTGCCACGTAGCAGATACGGGCATACCATTTGGCATATCAAATGTTTGATATATAGATAGGGCGGTTGATTGTCCACGTGACATGTGTTTGGATATAGATGTTTAAACACGTGCTCCACATGTAATACATAACATGATAGGTGGTGCATGTATATACGTAAAGTGTCACATGCTGTATAGAGCATGTTGTATTCAAAGGCCACATTAAAAAACATGCTTTAAAAGCAAGATTTGCCAAAGCTTTCCACACTTTAAAAAAACAAACAATAAAAACACTAAACTATGCTTTCTACTTTCGTAATCCCAAAAGTAAAAGTATATCCAAACACTACCTATTTTTTATCTCATGGTGGTGTTTGTGGGTAAGGTTCCATTTGGTTGTAGTGGTTCTTTGCACTAGTGTAAATGCATAGGAGTACAAATAATTTTGGTTTTTTGTTTCAAATTTGACCTGTTTCATTTGTTTGTAAAGCTCAGTTTGGAAGGAGTACAAATACAACAAAATAATATAAAATACAA